ACCTTGCCTGTCTCGAGCAGCAGTTTGACCACGGCCTCGTGCCCTCTCCTAGCTGCCCACCAAAGTGGTGTCCGACCACAATCGTCTTTGAAGTTGATCTCAACGTTATCTATTCCAAGTAGCAGCTTTACCATCCCCTTTTGTCCTTTTTCAGCCGCCCACAAGAGTGACGTCTGACCATATTTGTCCTTTAGGTTAACCTCAACCTTGCCTGTCTCTAGCAGCAGCTTGACCACGGCCTCGCACTCTCTCTCAGCTGCTAACCAGAGCGGCGTCTGACCAGACTCGTCCTTAGAGTTGACATCAACCTTGCCTGTATCAAGAAGAAGCTTGACGATGGTCTCGTGCCCTCCCCTGGCCGCCCATGATAGCGGCGTCCGACCGAGTTGACTATCCTTTAAGTCCGGATCAACACCGTATTTTGTAAGTAATAGGTGCACTATAGCATCATACCCATTCTCTGTGGCCCATGAAAGCGGTGTCAGACCATGTCTATCTTTCAGTTTGTACGGATATTTTATCCCAAACGCTATCTCATATCCTTTTATTGCTTCTTGTCGTTTCTCTTCTGCCTTTTGATACTTTTCTGCATCTCCTAATATGAGTGCAATGTTCCAGATTCTAGTTGCCTTTTCAAAATAGCCGCCAAGCTTCATCGAACGATCCAATACCCGATTGTATCTTCCTAACTGTGGAGACTTCCCTAAGGAAATCTCCCAGTCCCAGATAAGTACAAAATCGCGGTTGAAGAGTATGCCTGGTTGTAAAAGTTTTGGCCAGTCGATATATCCCCTCCATACTGGAATTTTCTCTGGAGGCCTAGCTGCAATCATGATAATGTCAAAATAGTTTTGACACCATCTAATGATCGTTGGTCTTGAAGCTCCTCGAAGAAGGCAAACGAGATCTCCATCTTGAACAGATTTCGCCGATGTCTGAAGAGTCCAACGAGCACTCCCCTCTCTATTCTTAAACATAACATCTACACCTTCTCTGTCATTCTGAATGGTGTATCTTTGTGCCAAAAACACCTTACCAAGAATACAACCCTTGCTCTTGATTGTTGCAACCTCTCTATCATTGCCCCAAGTCTCTACAGATATCTCTTGACCTAGTAGATACTTAGTTAGTCGCCGTAAGAGTTCTTCCCATGGAATTCTATAATTAGGCAATAGCTCAGCTTCGCTAAGATCATCAGAGCTCATGCCTAGCAAGGCGAATACTTTGTCGTGGCGCTTAGTAGCCTCATGGGCATGGTACATATCCACCAGCTCGCCTAGTGGGCAGATATCTAGAGAAGACCCGCCCGATCTGCTTATACAGAAGTCAGGCCTAAAGATTGCTCCCCTTATTAGGTATTTCACTGAACTGACCAAGCTCTGTAAGTCTACACGAGCTTTGTCAAACTCTTCAAAAGCATCTAAACCTAAGCAGAAGGCATGACCATCAATTCTTATAGGTCCACACATAACCAGGACATGACGAGCCGCAGCAACTTCTTGAAGCACCTAGACTAATCTATTAGTAATCTATAAATTCATAAAGTAATCGTTTTTAATACCCAGATGCGCCGAAACCATGGTCGTTGAAGTAGCGCAATAACTGCATCCTGAATCGTTTCATTGCTTGAAGGATTCTTTGACTTCTTGCCTCCAGCAATGCGTATCCAGTGGAGCGCTTGGTCGCTGTCTTCAGCTGCCTCGCCCAACCAAACAACGACACGATTTGCTAGAGCGTAGATCCTCGCCATCAACTGGATCTGTTCCTCTTTCTCTCGCTCATTATTTTGATCGATGCAAACAGCGTCAATCCATACAATCCGTTCATAGAAGGGGTATCGAAGACGTGTCAACGCCGCGTGAAGATTTTCCGTTACGGGCAGGTAGTGTTCGCTTGTGGAATCATGTTCACGTATGGAGATAGATTGAGGCTTGTCTGAACCACCCCATACATAGGACAAAGCTTCGTATGGATGTATTTGTCTGCTTAATCCCTGTAGAGAGTAATGGAAGAGCTCACATTGAATGGGCGCCGTTTTGTCTTTGTTAGGAAGTAGGCGAAGTAAGCGAATATTTGCTGGCAACAAAGGTTCGTGATAACAATCAAAAGAGGGGATAGGGGACATCGTGCTCTAAAACGTGAACTGTGCGGTTGTTGGATAATTCTGGTGGGGAGTATGATGAACCTGACATAGTGTTTTATCGCTTCTATCTTGGCATATCACAGCCACCCCCGCCAAATCACGTGAGATACAGCCATTGGGGGTATGTAGGGATGAAGCAGCCAGCCAGAAGAAGGTTATTTAACTTGGCATCGTGGCTCAGCATGAATCTATGAGTGTGCAGGGCGGAAGCCGAATTCGCTAGCGACTGTATCGCCGTGGAATCCACGGTTGATTGAATTGCCATACACATCTGAAAGTCACATGATATACAAGCTAATGTTCCTTAATTGCTATTGTACGGAACTAATTTTTTTTACAATTAATTTCCATCTCCTGTATGTGTAACTGAAATGATTTAGACTGATTTCTAGCAGTTCTTATTCTCTATCTTGTTAATTCCAGACCCGATATGTAAAGTGCAAAACCGAGTATCTTCAAACGTTTATTGCACTCTTTGCCTTTGAGTGATTTTGGATGCTTTCGAATACTGGCTTCAAGTTCTCAATGAGCAACGCGCCACGACACAATAAAACTATTTTGGCCCGAAGCATAAACGTCACTCGTCATGATCATCTTTTAAAGACATGTGAAATGCAATAGCGGCAACCGTAATAGTGCTTACTACAGCGGTTCGGCGCGGATGGAACTATGCAGAGTAGGTCCTTTTCTTTGATTTACATATCCACTAATCCAGGGTAGACACTTCAATGCAAGGACATTGTAGTACTTGCATATGCCTATTTCGACAAAGCATATGTTGAAAAGGTCACACGAATGAGACATATACATGTACATCCCACCAATATATCACACTACTGCACTTATCTAGTCCCACAGAATTCCGAACAGTCCTATGAAAGCTCTCACGCAGTTCTACTACATCATCGTAGCAGACAAAACTGCTTACCTTTTATTGCTTACCTGTACACAGAAGGACGTATCAGATGAAACAAGGACATCAAAAGCCGTAAAATCATGCTGGATATCTCCACGACGACGATGTTACTTATGACCGTACCAACCACATGCAGCCATCTTACCTGTCCAACCGCGTAGAACCCATGCCACCAACCCTGTCACATCCCAGCCGCTTACCATGTAATCACCGCTTAAACTAACATCATCACCCATCCTCTCCAAACGCCGTAAATTTGCGTATCGAAGAACTCACATGTATGTACTTGCCAGTCAACCCTTTATATGGCTATCTGCAACCTTGAATCTCCAATTCAATAAGCCGTAAGAACCGGCGGTATTATTAAGGAAAGTAAGCATGCTACCAGCAGCTAGCCAGCAGCCATGTAGAAAGGGTATAGAGCCTAAATGAAGAAGAAAAAAGAACGACATGTGTACCCCCCGTTGGTACCCTATTACTTTCCTACCGCAATCCATGCAATTGAAGCAATCAAATGCGGACATCCTGATACCCGACCTCCCACCTCTTTTCTAACCCCCCCAATCACCCTGAAAAATCTCTCTCTCTCTCTCACACACACATCTAAACCTGCTTCTCGCCCCTCGGTGCCGGCTGTACATACGCCCCCGGCTTCACCAATCCCTTCTTCCTCAGCACATACGTATTCCACGCCCAGCCAATCTGCGCCGTAACACTAATTGGCGGTTTCTGATCTGCAAAGCGATAGAGCTGAGGCTTAGCGAGTCCCTTTTTGCGCAGAATGTACGTTTTGAACCACCAGGACAGATTCTCGCCGGCTTGGTACTTCATGTGTTTGCGCGTGGGGACGCCGAAGATGTAGTCAAGTTCTTCAAGGGTGCGTTGTTTGGTTTCGGGGAGCCAGAGGAAGCTGATTTTTGCGTTAGCAAAAAAAATGTAAATCTCATAGCTAGCTGCGTGAATTCAAAAAACGGAAGGGGGGGGGAGACTCACATCATAGTCAGAGCGACAATGTTCATACCGGAGTAAAATCCAAACACACCCTGCGGTCTCATAACTTTGAGCATGCGCGGGAGCGTAAGAGACAGAATGCTTGCCCAGAAATTATTCGTTGCAACGGCCCATGACATGCCGACTTCACGGTGGGACAAGGGGAAGACCTCTGCCGAGTACGTAAACGGCACGGGACCCATTCCCGGGCTATAAAACGCACCAAACAGGTAGACGAAAAACGCAATGAGGCCAAGATGTGCAGTGTTGTCTTTGGGAATGTAATAGCACATTCCCGCGGCAAGCAGCGACCAGAACATGTTAGGGAAGGTGGCCAGGAGCAACCCGCGGCGCCCAAACGTGTCGATTGTCCAGACGGCGGGCCAAGCGAAAAGGAAGTTTACCAATCCGAACCCAAATGAGGCGATAAGAGCTTCTTTATTCGAAGCACCACCTTCAGCGAAGATTGTTGAGCTGTAGAAGGCGATGATATTTATACCGCACATCTGTTGCGAGATCATAATTATACCTGAAGCTTGCGTTGCACGGCGTACACGTGGGATAGTAAAGAGTTCGATAAAGCGGGTGAAGAAGTTGGACTTGGGGTTGATGCCAGCCTCGCGGATCAGAACTTCTTCTTGCTCAAGCAGGCAGTGCGTGTAATAGAGGTCGCGGGCGGCCTGCAGCGGCGAGTTGCGGAGACGCAGGAAAGATTTGTAGGCTTGGGCGTATTTGCGCTTTTTCATGAGCCAGCGGGGGCTCTCTGGGACAAAATAGATGCCAAGGACGAGTGGCACTGCGGGGATGAAAGCGGAGCCGAATTGGAGACGCCAGGATATGGACCCTGTGTTCTGGAATCAATGTCAGTAAAAGGTACGTATTGAGTAAATATCAGATGGCACCTTACCATGACAACAAGATTAGCAACGGTGCCAAGAAAGATACCAAAAGCTGTCCAGATCTGGTTTGATATCGTTAGCCAGGCATGACTTCACTCCTCATTTTTGGTTTCAACACACCTGCCAAGACATCACGAGACCGCCTCGAACACTGGCTGGGACGTTCTCGGCTGAGAAGACAGGAACAGTGACTTCCTTCAGACCCATACCGACACCGAGGAGCACACGACACACGGCGAGCTGTCCCCACGTCTGGCTGAGTCCCATTCCAAACGGAGCCAAGAGCGAGAAGACGGCAGCAATGAAAATGGTACCACGGCGACCGCAGAGATCATTGACCGGATCTGTCGTGTATGTCAGCCTCCCAAAAAAAAGTTCAACTTTACAAGTAATACTCACCAGAAATCCACGCACAAAACACCGCAATAGCAATATACGGACACGCATTCACAAACCCAATAATCCACCCATTCTTCTCACAATTCCCCGCAGCCTCACACTCAGGCCCCGAATCCGGAATCCCCAGCGCCTGCCCAAACGTCAAATTCGCGCCATTCGAGCCCGTCTGGTCCCACCCTTGGATAGCCGCCGCAATAGAATTCAAGATGATGGTGAAATACAAGACGCGTGGCAGCTTGAAGCGGTGCGTTAGTTCTTCGCGGAGAAAGGTGCGGTCCGTGTCGTCGAGGTCTTCGAGTTCTTCGAAGAGGGCGGGGGATTGGGCGACGAGGGCGCCTTTGATGAGGAGGGGTTCTACGTCTTCGAGGTTGTGCTCTACGGCGAAGGTGTGGACGTTGGAGAGGAGTTGGGAGCGCGGGATGTCGACGAGGGGGTTGCGGACTCTGCAGGAGTTGAGTTAGTTGGTGGGGAAAAAGGAAGGTGTGGAGGTAGAAGGGAATGTTTGATGTGTAGTTGGGGTTGTTGTTAATAACTTACTCGCCCTCTATGTTGGCTGTTAGCCGCGCAAGGCTCTCACGGCGCTTTGCTTCATCGTCGAAGATGGAGGCTTTGCGCTCAGTGGTTTCCTTGTGCTCGTCAACAATAGGCCTACAAGATGTGTTAGCATACTCAAGTAGTGTAAGAGATAGATCAAATATACTTACTCGATCTTGGTCTCTTTCTCTGGTTCCGCCATGGTGAACCAGTTGAATGTGGAAATAGTTGAACTTGAAAGTACAGTATTCAGTCCAAGTTTTCTGGGGCCGCGCTTGCTTAATGAAGGGCGTGCAATTGACGGGGGACTGTGAGTCTTCTGAGCAATGACCACCTTTATGCCGTTTATAAGTCGGGGTTGTCACGAGGTACCCTCCTCCGCGTAGTCGTCATTGTCAAGGAGCTGCGTTTTCCCCACTTTGCTCCATTGCGCGTTGCCTATCGTCACATTGTTCATGCTCGCTTTGGATCGCATCACGCGGTACAATCCTACTTAATTGGCCAATCGTGTGGTGGGTCGACAGCCAAGGCTGCACCACTTGCATTCATTCCTGGGGGCATCCAACGTCGGTGGCTTGAGAGTGTAAGGTGGAGTGTGCGCCTTGGCGCTCACTTTTTCTTTCTTGGGGCTGCCTTGGCTACTGGCTTTTTCGTCTTGTTGTCCGCAGCTAAGATGGAGTTGCGAAACTACCCCCATGTCCGGATAATCTGACCTGGTCCCGCATCGAATTGTTGAGATCGAGAGCAAAAGTCATGTCACTTTGACGAGTATGCTACACTTTGGCATTTCCAAGTGGTCAGTGCGAGCGTTGCGACAAGATTGCACAACAAACTAACTTTCCAAATTAGAATAAATAATAAAACAGCCTCGAAAATGATTTCAGAAATGAATATAATACCCAGAAAGACCTAGATTACAAGTGTCTTGGCCTTGCTCAGCGTCGATCTTGGAAGCCTCAGGGAATCGGGCCATGGCAAGATTATAGCACGGCAGCCAAGCACGGGAGAGCGTGAGCACAGTGCAACCTCAAGTCAAACTTGCATGCAGTTGTTCACAACTTCCAAGACGTTAGAACAGCCAGCCCAACCATCAGCTTACTCACCCACTCCAATGGACAGGCAGAGATAGAGATAAGAGCGCCTCGGACGGTAAGTATATTTCGGCGCAGGAAGATATTCAATTACATACGACAAGGACGTCTCAATACACCGCAGACGACCCAGGATACCTAGTCATATACATCAGTGCACCGCACCCTCAAGGTAACCAAGAGTCTTCTTCTTACTCATAAGCGTCTGATCAAGAAGCCAAAGACCGGTCAGACAAGAAGAAAGGGTTGCAACCGTGCCATGTACTTCCCCGCATTTTTTGGCTTGGCCTCTCGTACTTGGGGTCTTGTCAACCCTTCAATGGGCTTGATTTGCAGCAAGGGTCCACCAACAGCTTTTTGGGCATTCAATGACAGGCCGAGAACCCTTCGCCTCGCATGCACGCGCGCCCTTTGTGCGATATGCCCTTTTTTCTTTTCTTTTTGGTAATGGAATGCGTAAATAGGGATCAGTAACCTGTTACAAATGTCAACTGGAAGCGAGCAGCTCCCTGCATGGCACCCGCTCTGGACTTATAAATGATGTTTCAAACCGAGTTTATTGATTACATGAGCTTCAGGAGCGACGTCATGTGATGTCTATTTTCTTAGCGCGGCTGAAAAGGGTGAATGCTCTCATGTCTCATGTATGTACATGTAGTATCCCATAGTGCGCTTAGCATTCGGCAACCCCGAGCTGTCCTCTTGTACCTGCCGTATCGATCACCGATCTAAGCAGCTTGCATCATCGTTAATCGGTCCTTCGCTGGGGATATTGGTCTTAGTGCCGCGGATGCAACGACTTCCAAGAACTGTTCTAGCGCCGCCGTTTGACGTTCCAAAAAAGACTTTGCTGAGAAACCACTAGGCTCCAGACTGCGTCTCTTGATGCCTTGTACACTATCACTCTGCAAAACCCTGAGCATCTTTGCAACGCATGGTGAGCAGCAAAGGCATAGCCTCGTGGGTTTCCCGCCTGGCCACCATTTCTCTAATGTTGCTTGCTTTCTTGGTGGGTTATAGCCTTGCGCAAAATTCTGAGCTTTGGCAATTTGCCCCACTGCATCCTCAGTTTTAGTACACTTGCTCACGTGAGCACGTATTGACTGCTGTTCAGATTGTGCTCCAGTTGTACAATCTTGTTAGAATTGTCACCACAGTCCTTGTGTTTCCTAGTATCCAGAGCCATGCATCGCCGTTTCTCTCCCCTTGTTCCTCTCTGAGGCATCTCCCATGGTATCCGCAGATCCGGCAAAGGCTTGTTGGATCGGTGGGCGGGGCTTAGCTGCAATGTCCAGCTCAGCAAACTTTGGTCGTACTTGGAAAATGTTGACACGTGCGGCGTTGAAGACTTGCTCAGAAGGCGGAATAGCAACGGCGAGATTGGTGTTTTCTGTTAGACGGGTGATGAAGAACATGAAGCGACCAGTTTTGATTTGCATTTCGGCAAAGTTTGCGCTTCCAGCGGGGATGTTGGTGTGTTTCCTGCAGTCAAATAAGTAAGGTTTCAAGGGCCAACTTTGGAAGAAGATTAGTCACATACGCCATGCTCTGCTTGTGTGTCTTGAGTATACTTGAGATGCGTTCGAACCGGTCGGTAAACGGGTTGGACTCTTCGGTCTGCCTAGTGACATGGGCTACCGTGAGACAAGTTGTCCGCTCGTACAAGATCAGTTCTCTTGCGTCAATGACCTCGGCAAGCTGTTCTAGCAGAGCCTCGATGGTACCGGCGTTTGGGATCAAATAGTAGATTATCTTAGTCCAAGCTTTATACAAGCTCTGGTCCCAAATGCTCGTTGCAAAGAACTCGACTGTGTCTTTGAAGCCCTCGCTAGCCTCCCGAATGTACTCTGCGCGCTCGTCGAACATGGCCTGTCGCAGTCGTGCTTGCACGAGATCCATCTTGTGTATGAGACAGAAGACCTTTGCGCTGGGACTGCATTCGTGGAGGGCGCGGATAATGTTTGAGTAGGAAACGACATCGGCCGCAAACTCGCGCGATTCGATATCAAAGACGAAGATGAGGACAGCAACGGAGCCAAAGACATGATTCCTCGACTGGTTGAGGTAGTTCTCGACGAAGCCGTCTTGACTGTGATGCGTCAGCATGTGCCAGCCTCAGACGCTAGGCGGGGGTGGGCATACCCTCCACAGTCCCAAAGATTGAGCATGAGGTTGCCCATAAACTTGATATTACTATGCTCGACATCGATGGTCGCGCCCAGTCTGCGCACGTCTTTGGCAACGTAGTTGCTGAAGACGATACTTCTCATCGACGACTTGCCAGCTCCACTCTTGCCCATAAGCAGCACTTTGCGCTGCTTCTGGCGCTTGATCGAGTTCATCATGAGCGTGCGTAGGCGGGAATCCGAGTCGTTGACGGCGATGCAGAGGCTGTGGAATGTTTCCGCTGTGTGTTGAGGATGACGTATCGTAAACAGATCATGGGAGGGCGTGGAGCTTGGACGCGCACCTCGTGCAAGCTGCACTTACCCTATGCTTGGCAGTGGGGCACATTCCGCTCTCCGCAATCTTCAGCACGTACGCACACGTGGAGACTTATTAGATAGCATCCTTGTATGTGCTATTACCAGCATTGAAACATCAGTGGCCGGAGCGGCTGCATAGCACTCAATGCTGTGTATACAACCATGTCTGTGTGCAGACACACAAACCACCCGTGGAAGCACGGTCTGCACGTCACGCACCCCGTGTTCATGATTGCGAAATTCAACATGGCTTGCAGATTAAGAGTAATCTTATCAATCGTACAATCGCAAAAGCTACTGGCTGTAATTCAATCGGCTCTACTCCTCAGCTAATTGTCAAATTTTTTTGTGTTTGGTCCTCCCAAAAAGCTTCTCAGTAAATGGCGAAATATTACAAGAAAAAAGGGACCAGGCAACCCGGAGCACTGAAGGGTCGAAGAAGAATAAGAAGAGGAAAATAACAAAAAAAAATGTACACGTAGCCGATGTGACGAAGCAAAACATATCGACAGAAAGCCGAGCCACCAAATGCGACCGTCGAGATCGTGTATCATAAAGTCCCATGCATTTGGGCCAGAATTAGAAGGTCCTTATTGCGGCGCGGGTGGGAAGCAACACCCTCTAGATCGGGAGCGTGTGTCCGCTGCACGCAGTCGATATCAAAAATGAAGCGAAAGAAAGGCGGAACGGTTGAAGAAAGGGGTATCTTAGAAAACAGTGCCGTCCGAGAGGATCATGATCGGCGGTTCTTTAGTGTTGGGCCGCGACACTTCGGCAATTTCGCGACCTCCCTGTGTTGCGAGTCAGCAGAGCTCCGATTAGTTTGGCGTCCCGCGCAAACTTACCTTCCAACTTCCTGCTTCCAGCATCTGGGCCAGGGTCAATTTGTCTGGCCCGCTCAAACGTAGCAGCTTGTTCACCTCGGCTAAAAGCTCGTCAAGAAGGCCAACGGTTGCCGCGCGCCACTCCACAATCACGTCGTCGTCGGCCGTGAACATGGGAACCACTTCCATGCTGGGCTGACCCTTTTGCTGAGCATTCTCCTGGTATTGCGCCAGGCCGCGCTCTTGGTCTTCGGGCTTTAGTGTCAAGAGGCCAACGTCGATGAAGAGACCTCCGTTTCGGTATTCTGGCAGTCCAGTCAGGAGTTCAGCGCCGGCAAAGTGCACGTGGAGTAGCCTGGTCATGGGTACCATGAGCGAATAGGCGAGCCACTGAGTGAGTTTGTGGAATGGGACAATGTTTTCCCATGGGTGGGTCGGATGTGATGGCATGACGGAACAGGGCCATGCGTCGCCCATGGGTACGCCGTCGATTTGGGTCCTCGATGCTGGCCAGATGGGAGTGAGGCTGTCCATGAGCGTGTTCCAAAGCGTGGGCAGAGGGATAATGGGGACAGAAGATGCTTGTGTCGTGGGATGTGAGAGAAGATAGTCTAGCAATGTTAGTGCCAGTCCTGTCATATCATGTCACGCGCGTGCGCATACCAAGCATGTTTCCTGGGCGAGCCTCGAGACCAAAGACTTCTGAGTTCTGCAGGGCCTCTCCGAGGCGAAGAAGCAAAGTAGTGCGGCCTTCGAGACCATCAATTGGGTTGGAAGCAGTCACCTGAAGGCCACGGGCCACGGTCGCAACGTCGAGCTTCTTCAGGCCGGCACTGTCGACCTGGAAAGGCTCTTTGGGGTCGCTACTGAATGTGCCGGCCTTGAACATTTCCAGACTGGCGACGGCGAGACCCTCGCTGCGGCGGTAGAGTTTGCCAGACTCTTTGCTCTTGTACTGCCATTTTGTTCCAGCGCCAGCATCGAGCAGGACGGAAACAAGAAACAGGTCAAGCAGGCGGCGCGTTCGCTCTTGGTTGTCGACAGTCGAGGGCCACGAGGCCATGAGTTGGTCAATTCGCGGGCGGCCACCAACGTCAAAGTGCTGCCATCTGCCATGCGGGGGGATGGATGCGTAGTCGGGAGCATAGTCGCGCTGAAGGCGAGTTAGAGCAGCGTGGCGGGGCGGGCGTGCTTGGACAGGATCGCTCTCACCTTGATAATGGAGACTACAAAGCTGGCGACATCTCCAAACTTGCTCATGTCGACAGTGAAGTGCTTGAGCTGGTTCTTTTTTGCCTTTTCCAGGACCAGGCGGGAGCGTTCGCGGACTGCATAGATGCTGCGCAGGTAGCCGGCCGGGTCGAGAGATGGATCGGGGGCCTTTGGCAGCGGGACGTCTGGAAAGCTGGTCGGGCGGGAGCCGTTTGGAGTGGGACCAGGGGAGCGCAGAGAGCCATTGGAACTGTTTGGCTGACTGCCGCCGGGAGAAACCTGGGGCTTTGAGCCCTTGCGATTGAATAGACGCATGGTGGCTCACGACGACGAGGGACGAGGAGCGCAGGCGGTTGGAGGGCTGGGGAGGTTTGCTGGGAGGGTAGGAAGGTTGCTAGAGCTGGTCGAGGATGCTCGAGAGACGGCGATCGGCGCGCTTGTTGGCTGGGCGGGACCGGGAGATCCCTGGACGAAGAAACCGGAAGCGACTGCAGCGGTGGAGCTTGGAATGCAAGGGGATCCTCACGTGGGTCGAGGTAGTCGTGGTGGCGGCGGTAGGCCTAGAGTGCGATGTCGTAGTCGAGCAGTGGTGCAGCCAGTATGTGCGGCTCTGGGGGAGGGGGAGGAAGGGAGGGGGGTGGTTGCAGGGAGAATGGCCCAGCAGGACGGCAGACAGGCGGAGGTGAGGACAGCAGGCGGACGCGTCGCCTCCTGGTGGAAGAATGAGGTAAGTAAGTATGCAATGTATGTGGTGCCGCAAGCATAGGCGCAGGCGCAGGCGCTGCCGTCGGGCAGCTTGGTGCTAGAGGCAGCCCCCTGGCTGGTCGCGCGGGTCGAATGAACGGCACACTGGCTCTGCGCTAGCGGGACAGCAATAAAGGCTCGAGGCCTCGCTGGACCAGAGGCGCGCCAGGAACCGCGTGCAAGTCTTCCGAACGGTGGCCTTCTTTTCCTGTGGACACGCCCGTCGAGGGTGAAACGACGAGCAACTGGGGCGCTGCAGGGTCTCGGCTCCATGGCTGCATGTGAACATGGGCATACACGTTTGTGCCTGGCCCATGTACCGTTCGCTCCAGGGTGGGCGTTGAGTGCCGCCGAGTGGTAAAGCCGTGTGTTCGCACTGGGAGCCCGGCCCCCGCCCTTTTTGGCTTAGCGCGCCTGTGCCACTACTCAGCATCCCATCACCTACATACAACCCCGTCGGGGAGACGCGGGCGGCACGACTCTGATACCGTGGCCGCGGGTTCGCGGGTCGGCAAATCCGCCAGCGTAGCATCAGCGACTGGCGACTGTCTGTCCACTCTGCCCTCTGCCCTCTGCCTTCTGCCCTCCCTGCACAGCCGCCAGTGACCTGCTTGCCTGCCTACCTGCCTACCTGCCTACCTGCCTACCTGCCTACTTCCCGCCGCCGCTCCTCGTAGTCGTCAGTCTAAGATACGACGGCTTCGTGTGCACAGCCAGCAGCCAGACGGGCCCAATCTGCCCATGACCACACACTGCCCGGGCAGCCCTCCAAGGCCTCCCTCCTTCTCCTCCTGCTCCTTCTTTTCCTGTTCCTGTCATGTTGCTCCTTCCATGCCTGGGTGTCTCGCGGCTGCGGATGCTGGCCCGCCACTGAGTAATGGTCAATTTGCAGCTTTCGGCCCGAGGCAGCTTGTCCTCCTGTCCCTCCGAGCCGAATTAGTACATACTTACCTCTCTCTCTCTGCCGGCACACCTGTACCGGCACCAGGACGTGCTCCAGTCTCCATCTCCGCGGTCGCGGTTCGTTGCAAGCTGACACTGACCAAATCTTAACCCAACAGCCGCAGCACAAAGAGCTGCAAGGCCTTTGTTTACCACTTTGTTTACCACTCCACCTATCTAATTACATGGTATTTTTACTCCGTGTCAACAGAGCTAAACGCGTCGCCGCACAAACCCACACGTCTCAATGTAGTATCTACACTACTCTACTTACGTATGCGCTGCTCGTCCCCATGCAGTTGCAAGGCCCCTGGTTGGAGTAACCCCAACTGTGCCACCATGTAACTATGTTCCTGGCGTCGGTCAGTCAGTTCTCTTTAGACGCCCGCCTCGGCTTTTTCCTGCCCTGCCATGCCTTCTTACCCAATCCGGCATCATGCGCTCTCTAGCAGGTGAGCCGCGTATATGTCCATCTGCGAACTGACAGAGGTGCTTTTTTTACTTCATGCACACCCGCCAAGGGCAACTTTTGCCGGTCACACTTGTTCCGTGGCTGTCTCCAAATTAAACGCTCAGGCACCTTAGAGCCAAGCTGTGGCTCAACGGACAGTAGTTTTCACTGTTTTTGCCGTGACATGTCGACCCTACCGTAGACCCTGCATGCCATCACGTGACTCGGCGGTACCTGTGGCGCAGCCCAAACAAGCGCGCCCGACCATCTGCAATACAGCCACCTTTGACGACGTGTGATGTACCCAACCCGCAATCATGACATGAAGCTTCCCCGGCACATTCCCTAAGACACCTTCACTAGCAACACAACCACAATGGACGATTTGGCTGGCCTGGACTGGACCCAGCCCGCCAAAAAGCCAGCTACAAACTCCCCCGCAGCCCTCCCACCCTTCCGCCAGAGCCCCACGCCCCAGCTCTCCGGCCGATCTACTCCCCTCTCTACACTCTCCGCCCAACCCTCCGGCCTAGGTGCAAGCCTCGGCGCTAGCCAGCCTTTCAAGGCGCCCTCGAAACCAGCGACCCCAGCCAACGATAGCTTTGCGAGTCTCGTGTCCTCAAGCAAACCAAAGGACGCAACCAGCAACCTCTCGTTGCAAGAGCGACAGAGGCAGATACAGGAGGAAAAGGCAAGGCTCGAGGCAGAAAAGCGGAAGCAATGGGATAGTGCATTTGGCACCGCCGACGCCCAGCAGTGGAATACCTTGGGAAGCGGGAAGAGCACACCAGAGCCTGCCGCCATTGCTGCTCCTCGAGTCTCAAACAACCCATTTACGAATTCGCGTCTGTCACAGACTATCAACAAGCCATTTGCAGGCCTGGACACGAGCGTGAGACGTCCCGAGGTATCCTCTCATGATGAAGCCGACCTACTAGCAGCCTTCAATTCGGCCGCTCCCGTAGACCGCTCAAGCCACTTTCCCGTTCCTTCACAGGACAGCGGTCGCAGCACGCCTGCACACGGCGCAAATGTCTCCCGAGGCCAGACACCGCTACCACAGCCCTCCTCCAGCAACAATGCGCTCATGGACGACGACGACGATATGTTTGGGCTCAAGCAAATGGCGCAAAAGTCGACTTCACCTGCACCTCCCCCTCCAACAAACGATGCGGATGACGACATATTAGGCCTGCTGGGTAAGCCTGTCTCGGAGTTTCAGCAGAAAGAGGAGCCTAGGTCAATGCTCAATCAAGCGCCTCCGGAGACTAGCCAACGTTCTTCTCCAGGCCCTCAGAATGCGCACGATAAGGCTGTTGCTGAGCTGGTTGATATGGGGTTTCCGGCTGAAAAGTCTGCTATCGCATTGGCCACCACTGAGTCTGGCTTGGACGTCCAAGCTGCGGTAGGCTGGTTGCTCAACCAGGCACATGCAGAGGCAAAGCAGAAGACACAGAGCCGCGACCGATCGCGACATGAAAACGAGGATTTTGAAGACCGCCCGAGGCGAGCAAATAGCAGGCCCAACGCACGAGAGTCATCAAGAGAACCTCGTGCAGGTGGATCTCGGCCTGCTTGGATGCAAGACGACGGGGCACGGAGTCGATCTGCCTCGCGTAGGCAAGACGGACACGGCCAGGAAAAGGACATGACACAAATGGCTTCGGAAATCGGCAACAATCTGTTCAAGTCTGCAAATTCTCTCTGGAAGACGGGTCGGAAGCAAGTACAAAAGGCCATGGCTGACTTCCAACAAGATGGTGATCCCAACATGCCAAAGTGGATGCGGGACGCCCAAGCAGCCGAAGCCAATACTCGCTCAGGGAGACAGCAGTCCAACGTGCAAACTGCTACAGATGAGGCAATGATGTTGGAAGCTGGTGGTCGACCCTCTAAATCTTCTCGGACGAGCGAGATGCGCCAAGAGGCTGAGCCGTTGCCAGTTCGACAAAGGAGAGAGCAGGAAGTTAGTCGAAGCGGCCACCCTGATCGCATGTCATCTCAATCACCTTCTCAACGGCAGCAACCTTCGGCATTAGACAAGCGACCAGCCAACAGGTTGACTCGTCAAGAGGTGGAAGAACAAGGACCTCAGGCATATGTTAGCCCAGCACGTCGGAAAAAGGCCACACCTCAGCCAGAACCGCAAGTAGACCTCTTCTCACCGGAACCCACAGCACCAAAGCAACCCTCACGACAACCCGTATCGCCTCAGTCCAAGAATCCTTTCCTTCAAGCAAACCCGAATCCAACAAAGCCAAGTCCAGCACGCACACCAACTCCACCCAGGCCCAAAGCACCTCCGCGGCAGATTCCGCCGGTGTCATCTTCTGCTCTCAGCTCATCTTCAGCTGACCGGCAAAAGGGGTCAGAAGCGTTCAAGCGTGGAGACTACTCAGCTGCTCATGCCGCCTATTCTTCCGCGCTCAGTCCTCTTCCCCAATCTCATCCCGTAACTATAGTAGTGCTTTGCAACCGTGCAATTACCAACATCAAGGTCGGTGATCCAAAAGCAGCGATTGCAGATGCAGACGCTGCCCTGGCAATCATTGGAGTGTCAAAAGGCGAGGGCGAAAAGATTGCTACAGGTGGCGTAGAAGGAGAAAAAGACATGAAGGAATTCTATGGCAAAGCACTCATGCGCAAGGCAGAAGCTCTTGAGAGCATGGAGAAATGGTCAGATGCGCATACCGTATGGAAAGAAGCCGTTCAAAGCGGTGTAGGCGGCGCCGTCGCAATCTCAGGCCGTAACCGCTGTGAAAAGGCCGCGAGCGGTGGTAGCAATGCACCTGCTGCTGCAGCAAAACGCCCACCTCCAGCTCGCAAGTCAGCTGCCCCCAGATCATCTGCCATGGCCGATCTCGGTGGCGGTCCTGCAGCTGACTCGGAAGCCGTAAAGCGCATGAAAGCCGCTAATGCTGCCGCGGAACGTGCAGATGACGAAAAATTCGCTCTTACCGATCAAGTTGACGCCAAGCTCATCGCATGGAAAGGTACAAAAGCAGATAACCTACGTGCGTTATTGGGTAGTTTGGATAAAGTGCTCTGGGAGGATGCAGGATGGAAGAAGGTCAACATGGGTGATTTGGTCATGCCTAACAAGGTCAAGATTATCTACATGAAGGCTATTGCTAAGGTGCATCCTGACAAGGTATGTCTTCTTTTCGCTTCCAATCTTGAACACACATGTACAGTTGCTAATATTTTCAACAGATTTCTCAAGACGCGACTACAGAGCAGAAGATGATTAGTGCGGCGGTCTTTGCTACCCTGAATGAGGCTTGGGATAAGTTCAAGGCGGATAACAATCTGTAATTGGAGGCTGTTGTATGCAGGCTTTGTCTCTTGGTTACACGATTGGTTCCATGTAGGTGATGCTTTGACAAAGGAGAATGAAGGACTAGAAGACTTGGCATCTTTACCTATCCATATATTTGATATCCCATCTTATTGAGTCTGTCTGATATCTTATGAATGACTTGAAATGGTGTGTTACTGTATGATATATTTAAATGTCTTTCCTGGACATATTCTTTTTTTTCTTTTCTACGAGAGAAATGCTATGGATAGGACTTGTACGCTTAGTATGGAAAGCATTGAATAGGCTCATATTTTCTTTCCTGGTATCAGATATCATAATAATACATAAGATGTCTGGGATGCGTGGCCCTGATATTTATGTCTCGAGTCATGTTTTTGAATGCGTTTACACGCCTGGCATGGCCACTCCTCCTTGATTCTAAAATCCCCAGGTTCACATCATTTTTAATGGAAAGAAGTCATGTTTCAGAAAGGATCATCCCACTGCTATTCCATTTCGTCATACGTATAACGTCGTACTTGAATTTGATATCCACAGTTTCATAAACATTTCCCTTAC